GTGACGTTAAAGGGGTGGGGGGGGGGGGGGGGGGGGGGGGCTGGTGGAGGGGGCATCTGTGGATTTTCGTGAACCCATGCTCCTCTCTCAAAATCATATATAGTAGTGTTATATTTTTTCTAAAAAAAATGCTTAAATATAAATGTGTTGTTGTTGTAGTACTTAAATATAAATGTGCAAACTCACATTCAAATATCATATAATGCGATGATAATTGAGTTCACCTCTCTAAGTGAGTTCATAAATTAAGTCTTATATCTACCTTATTTCTTCATGTCTAAAATTGAGCAACACCTTTCCAAATAGTTATTGGTAACACTTTTAGCGTTGCAATTTTTTGTTTTTGTTTTATCTTTCAAAATTCTCAAATATGTCATATTGGTAATTCTTATATTTATTTTAGCACTATATATATATATATATATACACGACTTATAATTTTAAAAATTTAACGGGTTCAATGTTAAGAATCTAAAGGTTAAATCAGTCAAATTTGTATCGTAGATCCATTTTTTCAAAATAGTGCACTAATCCTTTCGAAATCCTAGATACTCTGATTTAGACCCTATATTTGTATTTAAAAAATTATGTTAATATGTATAAGTAGATAAATAATGTATTTCAAGCCTAATAAATTAAAAAATATATGATTGAAAATACATAAATTTAAACTTTTGAATCCATCACTAAATTATACATCATTCTTGAACATGAAAAAAAGACAACAAAACGAAATTCAAGTGAATATATGTGAACTGTGAAGTTATGGTTGGCCCAATGTCATGGTTGGCTCAATGTTAGGCCCAATGTCATGGTTGCCTTCAAAATTCAAATGGTTTTCTCATAGGCCCAACATGGACCAAAACGAAAGAAAAACTAGAGGTTTATACTAGGAGAAGTCCTCTTTGCTAATTTACTCGTACTCAACGTAATTTCACGAGTGAAGTCTAAATAGAGTGATGTGTACATAACCTTACCCTACCTTGTGAAGGTAGAGAGTTTGTTTTCGTTAAATCCTTTGTTGGCGTAGACATATTAAAAATCAAGTATATAAAGCAAAAACAATAGAGAGAAAAAGCATGCTAAAAATAACTAAAAAGAGAACAAGTAGCAACACTAAATAATATGATAATCGAAGCAAAGGAAATAACATATACTGATAAGAGAACTAGATAACACTCAACTATCTACTAACTTTATACCCTAATCCTCAACTTTTATGTCTTCGTATCTACGGTCATGTTCTCGGTAAGCTGCAATGACATATTCAGTCTAATTACCTCCCCAAAAAATCTTTCCAATCTACTCCACCTCTCATGATACTCACTATAGCCAACCTCTCACACCTCCTCGCTAGGGTATCCATGCATCTTCTCTTCACATGCACAAACCTTCTTAGTCTCACCTCCCTCATCCTGTCCACCACATAAACCACTCTCACCTTGTCCCCAATAACTTCATTCTAGATCCTATTTCTTCTAAAATACACACGTACATCTCAATATTCTTATTTTTGCCACGTTCATTTTCTAGACATGTGAAATTTTTTGACTAACTAATACTAAGCTTTTGATGACATATTTTTATCACACAAGACTCTAGATGCAAACTTCTGTTTCAACCACCCGTTTCAATACTAAGATAACATCATCATCAATCTCCCTCCTAATTTTATAACTAAGTATGACATAAATTGATTTATTTTTTTCATTTGAATCAGGTCTGATCAAGTGGAAGAGGTAAACCAAAAATAGTTAGAGATAATTTTTTTAAAGTCATGTAAAATTAAACAAAATAGGAAAAATTACTTGAATGGATACCTTTTAATAAATAACTATTGATTTTAGTAATACTTTTTATTTATTACCATTTATAGCAATATATAATAATACTGTGATAAATGTAATATGTATTAAAAGTGAATTATGTATGAAATATATATTATAACTGTTTTATAATATATTATGCTTGTTTGGTAAGATATTGACACATTGTATTATAAGTGTATTAAAATGTGTGATAAATATATTATCCATCAATAAAACTTGTATTATATGTGTTTTATAAATTGTTCTCTGTATGTATTAAAACTGTATTATAAATGTACTAAAAATTATCAAGTAAAAAAATATTATTGCTATAAATGGTAAATATTTTCCTAATATAGTATATTTATGTAAGTTTCCCAAAAAAATACTCATTTTTTTAAAAATTCAATAAATATAAATCTGTTAACGAAAAAGAAACTTCATATATAACACAACAAATATATATAAAACATTTTTAAAACAATTTTTTTAAAAAAAAAATCGAAAATTGAGGGTATATTGGTCATTTTTCCAAAAAAAAAAAAACTCAAGTCCCTCTTCACCAAGGTTAGAAAAACCTAAACATAAAAGGTCTCTAAAAGGACACAAACCGTTAAAACCTGCAACTTCTCCATTGAACTGAAGTAAATCTCTTAAGAAAAAAAAAATCTATAAAAAGTTCTTTAAATTCCTCTTTTTTCCGCTATTTACATGCAAAATTATTGAATTTTTCATTAAGTTGATAAATTTGTTTCATTCAATATGAAGATTGTTCGTAGAGACTTTGTTCCTGATGGCCCTGGTAGCGTAAAGGTAATATTTTTTTCTCTATAATTGTTTTTTAAAATCTATAATTCGAGTAATTTTCGTGATTTTTTGAAACCCCAGATGAAGAAAACGATCAAATTGATTTGGGTATTTTTTATTTTCATGTATTATACAGATAATTGCAGAAGAAGCTGATGATCTATGGGTTGCTTATAATCTGATAGCTGAAGGTGATACTGTATTAGCTGTTACTGTTAGGTATTGCAATTTTGCTCAATTTCATTACTGTGAGGTCTTAGCATTATTTTGGGATAAATAAGTAATTTTTATTCGTGTGCGAAAGTTTGAGAATTTGTAGAAAAAACATGTTTTTACTATAAGAAGCACCTTGTTTATACTACTCCCTCACTCTGTTACAATTTGTTTGTCTGGTTTTCAATTGCCATGAGTTTTAAAAAATTAGTAAATAACGAATTTTGAATCTCATGGTTGTAAACTAAAGATATGTGGGATGTACGAAAATGCTCTTCAGTCTTGTGGTCTTAAATATGCTAGGTGGAAAGTTGAATGAAAGAGTTGCCAAATAAGGAAAGAGACATCGTTTTTGGAACAAACTAAAAAGGAAAGTAAGATAAACAAATTGAAACGGGGGAAGTATTTGGTATCTCATCAGTGCTACAAGAATTACTCAAAAGCTAGTGTCTTGCCTTCTTTTTAAAAATAATAATTTTGATCATGAAAGATGGAATCTTTGTCTTGAATATGGACGTCACTTGCTAATTAGAATCAAATTCTGTTCATTCGGAAGGTTGGAGCTTTTCGCTTTGTTTGTAACTACTTAGTTGATTCTCTACACTTGTTAATTTGATGCATGTTTCTCATCCTGTTGAGTTGATTGAAAATTATGTTTTTTGGACAACATATTAATTGCTCTCGTTCTCGTAAATGTCTAATTTCTGCATCAATTTTGTTGTTTTATTCGTTGATTAGCTAATTGTTGGAAAATGTTGTGTTCTGTGATTTGCAAAAGTAATCTATAGATAGTTAGACTCTAATCACGAGTTGTGCTAAATTCTAGTTAAATTTGTCTAAATTGGCCTGAGATGAGTTACATGAACTATGGAGTTACATGGTCAGTGAGGATTCATAAATACGACCTGAACTTGCTTGGACTGAGGTGTTGTTGTTATTGTTGTTTGCTGAAATTGTGAATGACAATGTTACTAAAAGGAATATGGATTTTGAGCATAGTGAGTCTTTACTGATTGCACAGGTTGATAATAGTATAGTTATATTTGTTGCTTAAAGCTTACGGTGAAGACTCATTTTTAATGTTGAGAGCAACTTTCTTTTGCAAATTATGCTATGTGGGTCTTTGCTGATTGTTAACACGGTTTTGCTTATCACAACACAACCTACTGGAAGCTGGTTGATTTTTGCTTGTAATTTCTTGTAGGAAGGTCCTAAGGGAAGCTGCTTCTGGAGGAAGAGATGCTGAACGAGTGAAACTGAAATTGGAAATTAAAGTTGAGGTAAGGATATATTAGATATCCAGCATCATTCAGTTGTGGGGTGTGGGCCTTGGTTAGAACTTTGTCGTAGCTTCCAGCATAAGGTGTTTTAAGAGAAATTGAAAGATAAAACTTTGAAATCAATTAACTATAGAGAAGAATCTACTAAGGATAGAGAGGAGACTTTTCTTTGTCTTCCTTTTCCAATGTGGTCAAGATGAAGGATTTTTGGGCAGTTTGATGAATTTTGAGGATATCAATACAACTTGTGTATGAAATATACATGATAGATTGTCACATAACAATGCTCCATTTCCAACGAATCTCAATAAATGCGACGTTGATAATTTTGTTACCATAGTAATGATGACAATTGTAATGTGACCAGAAAGTAGGAAATAGATAGTGCTCTTTCTAGGGTTTTTATTTGAGTATATTCCATTCCAATGTGGTATAATATAATTAATTTGGTATTTTAGAATGTGGAGTATGACAAAGAAGGTTCTGCCTTGCGTATTCGTGGGAAGAATATTCTGGAGAATGAACATGTAAAGGTGTGTTTTCTTCAACTTAATCCTTTTGGATAAATTCCTAACATTGATGCTGCAACAAAAATCTCTAATTATTTTATTGCAGATAGGGGCCTTTCACACTCTGGAAATTGAGCAACACAGACCTTTTGTGCTAAGAAAGGTACAATGCTGTGTTTTGATTCTTTTCCACCTATCACTCTGTTTTCTTTTAAAAATTTTGAGGTATATTATTTGCACTTCAAAACCTATCAAGCTGGTGATATATGTTCTTTAGGATTGCAGCTCTAACCTATGTTTCTCAGACTCTTCAAATATGTCAACGGCTGCATGTTGGATTCTCCAAAAATAGTGTATTTTGGAGTATCCGACACGGGTGCGGCATCGAAAGTGAAGAGTCCCCGCAATTTAGGCTCTAACAAGTAAAAAAATCTGTAAAGTTATTCATGTAATTTACATTATTATTATAAAACCACCGGAAAAAAAAGAAGAAGAGAACAAGTTACCTTACTTTTCTTTAATAACCTTGGTATCCGGGCTAGTTTGTGCACACTTCGACCTGTTCCACCAACACAGCTACCGCCTACCGGGTAACTCTTTCCATCAAGGTTTTGACAAATAAGAAGAAATTGTCTAGTGTATTTCGCCTCTGGTTGGGTTTGAACCTAAGATCTTATCACTCTTAACTCACTTCATTGGCCGCTAGACCATACCCCTTGGGTGCAGTTACTTGCAACTAAATTTCATTTGTCCCGCTGCTGACACCCCTTTGAGACATCTCGTGTTCCTGTCCTTTGACGTAGTTCACACCCTGCACAAAAGGTGTACGCACGATACCTCCTTGCTGTCTCTAGATGGAACAACCCTTCTACATTAATGATGATTCCACCCTGGTTATCGTCATGACCAATTCCATGCCAAATAAGCCAAGAAATAGTTACACATTTTTCAGCAGACACCAAAAAAGGAAACCCGAAGTATATTGTCATTGATTTCTCATAAACAAGTGTACAATGGTTCGAAAATTTCCCGAAGGCATTATTGCTTATTAAGCTATTATTAACTCCTATATTATACACATTATGGACTTTGGTGAAAACAACAAATACCCAATGTACTGAGGGGGCTAGTTTCTTTTCTCAGCTTGTTTCTTTGTAGTTTGAAGGATCTATGCCCCCTAGTTCGTCCAACACAGGTAGGGCTGAGGCATGATAAGATAAGTGACGGTTTGTGTAGCCTAGGTAATATATACTTAAGTGATGCAACAATCTAAGTTTAGGTAGGGGAAATTCTTCTCGTATACATAGGAGTACATGAAATTTGGTAAAATTTTCTGATTTTTTTTCTGCATTATACAAAGTTGCTGCATAGATCAAGTATAAGGAAATAAGTGTCTTTTTATTAGAGGCTAAATGAGTCATAGAAGATGAATTAGGAGATAATCATTTGTAGCTGTAACTAGAGGTTTCTATAGGAAATTGAGGAGCATTCTAATCGAAATATAAATGCCTATAAATGTCTGGGCTAAGAATTACAGGTGAACTTGAAATTATGTGGATCGGGTACAGGCCGAATGAAATTTTCCATAATTTCTTTTACTGCTAGATTTATTACTTAAAGGGTATACACTTATCAAAATAAAATTTCTTAGAAGGTATGCGTGCTTTTGTTTAAAACTTTTGTTTATGTATAATCCTATCTATGCATGTACACTAATTATTTTGAATTTCTTTGTTTAGTAGTAACTCAAAGTGATCATTCTTTTCCTATGTCATCTTCCCTATTATTTTCGTATATTCTATTTGTTTAGCAAATTTATGAGCATCTTGTTTGTTTCAATCTTAGTCTTACCTGAACAGAGTTGATTTATACGAAAGTTTACAAATATATTAGTTCTGACTTGCATTATCTAATTTAGGTGGTCTGGGACTCACTGGCACGGGAAGTTCTTCGTCAAGCTTCTGGTATTTTTCACAGTGCACTTTAACATAGTTATATTTTTATTTGTTCAAGGTTGCCATTAACATTATCTGCAATATTAGGCATTTTAGTTCATAGCCTGACTTTTCATCCATAACTTATCAAGTTTTATAACATGTAGATGCTTCTTTTTAGTACATTGACATGATTGTGAAACCGCTTTATAGGTGCATTATTCTTTGATAGATTGTTTCAGTCTAGGTGTGTTTTAGCCCTTATTTTGCAGAGGTTTTCTTCTTTACTCGTATACTTGCAGTGAGAACATGATTATTCGCTGCAATTACATGTGTGTTGCAGAGTGCTTTTGAACTGATGAGAAGTTTCCCTATATAATTGTTGATATTCAGCTGTATTGGTTCCAACATGGATGTGTTTGTACTGCTCTTAGATTTACCATTTCAATATGCTGAATACGGTTTTCCATTTTGATGATTCAGATCCATCTGCAAGTGCTGATCTGGCTGTGGTTCTGATGCAAGAAGGATTGGCACACATTCTTCTTATTGGTAAAAGGTAAGCTTGACAATCTCATAGTCCTATGAATACAAGTTTTAAACAGTTCTTGAGGCATAGTTTAAAAGTCGAATGATTATGTCAGAATTTCTATATGTTGAGGCTGAGTTAAGTGTTAACTAGATTGTATGGCATAATTTAACCTTATGTACTTGTTACTGTTGTCTGAACAGTGTGACTATTACCCGTTCTCGTATAGAGACTTCTATACCGCGCAAGCATGGACCAGCTATTGCAGGTTATGATAAGGTAAGTCTCCTTTTGTTTCAGCTTTTGTATTATTTAATTATTTTGAACATGACGTCAAGTGAAATTGTGTTCTTAATTTTGATTTGCAGGCGTTAAATAAATTCTTTGACAATGTTCTACAGGTAGACTTTTGCCAACTTTCTTGATGTTGCTTAATGTCCATAAGCAATATGTTACAGGTTCTTATTTCTGTTGCAGGCCTTTGTCAAGCATGTTGATTTCAAAGTAGTTCGCTGTGCTGTGATTGCAAGTCCAGGATTCACCAAGGTATTTTTTGTTTCTTTTTTGTATAGTTACACTTCTTAGCTAGTCATACTTTTATGCTATGTTACAAGGGGAAGAGCATGCATATCTAATTATATCTGTACTATGCATATGTTAATTCAGTTGTGATATTCAACCTTTTTTGGGTTGAATGTGCAGGATCAGTTTCATCGTCACCTGTTGTTGGAAGCCGAGAGGAAGCAACTAAGACCTATAATAGAAAATAAGTCACGCATACTTCTTGTCCATACAACCTCGGGATACAAGTATGCCCTTCTTTCTCTTTCTCTCTCTCTCCTTGCCCTTCATCCCCTCATCTGACATCTCAAAACGATACTTTGTCAATACAGTTTTATGCAAACCATATGATGTTAGACGTGCGTGCTAGTCTAGAACTGACTAATATGTTGCAATTACATTTTTGTGTACACGATTCTCTCGTCAGTACTGCTATTTTAGTACAAATCACCTTTATTATGTGTCTATTTGTAGTTGATATGTAAGAGTTCAATTATTATCAAGCACGGGTGTTTAAGCCAGAGAGTTTTTTTTTTTCCTGGTTTACAGACATAGTTTGAAAGAGGTTATGGATGCCCCAAATGTAATGAGTATGATAAAAGATACAAAAGCTGCCAAAGAGGTACCTTATGACCCTTGACCAACTTAATATGATCTTTAATCTTTATTCTTGTGTTTGTTCAAGTCTTTTTTCTTACTCTTTGGGAATAACAGTTTTCTTTTCTCTTCCAATCTTAATCAGGTTCAAGCCCTAAAGGATTTTTTCAACATGCTTTCAAATGTTAGGTTCTATCCTTGGTCTCAATGTTTCTATTTATATTTTTCTTAATAACTTTGGATGTTTCAGATTTTTATCTATCATATGCTAAGAGTACGCACATATTGTTTGGTTTTGAATTTATTTGTTTGCTTTTTTGGTGTTTACTGTTATCTTGGGTTCTGTAAAGAGACCTGAGAGTTTCAAATAAAAGTCGAGGTGTTTCACTATGCATGACGGATATCCCTGTTTAAGGAGATCAAGGTGGACTAATATGAAATATTTCAAGATTAAGAACAGACACAATGTGTTATGATGGGCAGCTGGTGATATTGTTATCTCTGTGTGTGCCTTTTTTCAGGCCTTTCTACCAATTGAATGCTGAAAATTCATTTGCAACCTATCTTGGTTGAATTTGTTTTCAGCAAGGATCCGTCATAATTCTCAGATATCCAATCATCAACAACTTTGAACTTCTATTAAATTTTAGGGCATCTCAGTTGTGTACTTTCATCTACTGATTTTATGTGCAATTTTACTGGAGTAGTAAGAGGATTATCTGTCTGCAATGCTTTGGCCATATTGATTTGAGATAATTTATCATCTGATGTGCCCTCTCCTTTACTTTTTTGCGGACAGAAATACGATAAGGAAGTCTTAATTAAAAATATTTGTGCTTGATTTCCTGGTTTCAAGGATATTTAGGTCTAAAAATTAGAGTTAAATTACATAATTTAAGGATGTTAGATATAGAGGTCTTTTACCAGAGTGAGTGCCTGTTTGAATCCCCCCGCCCCGCATATTTCATGAATTATGATATTAATTGGATATTAATGATGCCGCTTTTCATGCCTTCCGAAGTAACTAAGAAGGATAACACCTTTATTTAAAAGCTTTTTTCCCTCTCTTTTTAGAACTTCTTGCAATAAATGTATGCCATGTCCTTTTTTCCGAATCTCTTAACATTTATATTAATGAGCTTCACCATGCATGAAGTTAACTTCCAGTTGTCAACAAGAGATCCCTGTAATGTGTTCCTTTCCCTGAAACTTATGAAAATTGAAGTTACTTTATTGGGACTTTTCTAGGATCCTGATCGTGCATGCTATGGACCAAAGCATGTTGAAGTTGCCCATGAGCGAATGGCTATTCAGACACTTCTCATTACCGACGAGCTCTTTAGGTGAGTATCTTATGGTCCCAGGTTAATGGGCTTTTACAAGCAACAAAAATGAAACTGTATATAGCTTGATACTAAATTTGCAACTCGTGGCATATTTCTAGTTCATAAGTATCTCTTTTTACGTGCTTAGCTTTTAAAATTCACATCTTTGGTTCATAGGATAATATGTAGACATGTATAACTTTTTATCTTCATATCTCAATCAATTATTATTATTATTATTATTATTTTTTTTTTTTTTAATAACCGAGAAATCCGTCTGTGACCCGCCCTTTGGCCCAATCACTGCCTTCTAAACTCGGTGGATAATGGGCCCGCCCCTCTACCCTTCTCCACTTAAATACCGGGCTTCTATCTCAATCAATTATATATGAGTCATTTCACTCGTTCTGTGAATATAGTTGGTTGATATTGTACATGAGAAATATCTAACTTCTTTTGATCTGTTGACAGGAGTTCTGATGTAGAAACGAGGAAAAAGTATGCTAATCTGGTCGATTCAGTCAAGGATTCGGGTGGTACTGCTCTCATTTTCTCGTCAATGCATGTTTCTGGAGAACGTGAGTATATACAGTTCCTGTTAATTTCTTTTTTCTTCCAGCATTTACATCTCTGCCTTTCCCAGTCGGAATTTATTTAAGTCGGCCCCTAGTAATGCTTTGAATCGTATTTCCCTTCCGTGCACACGTTCATTGTCACATACTCACTTCAAATCTTTTTCCTTCCTACGAACACACGTTCTTTACTGCATATATCATATATGGCAAGGCTGATTAAAACAACTTTTGGTTTTCGTCACAGAACTCACACAGCTAACCGGCATTGCTGCAATCCTTCGTTTTCCTTTGCCGGAGCTGGAAGACATTGAGATGTGATGGAAGAAATGCTCGTTCATCGGTAATGAATGTTATCTGCACTGTTAAAAATGTGACTATTCGCTATAAAATGAAGTGAATACACAAAAATTGTAATGTTTCTCTAGCAGTGGAAGTAACATCATCAACTGATGTTGCGTGTGGCGTGTTGTATATTCGATTTTTTTTCGTTTTGATTAATTGAAATGTAATATATCGTCGACTATCGAGGTGTACTATATCATTGTAACGATATTTTTCATCGAATATGTTGGCTGTTAGATGAAGTTTTCTGGTTTTTTCACAGTTTCTCAGGTTTTATGTACTCTTTTGTCCACTTATTATATGCATAATTTGGTCTCTATTATGTTGTGTTTTGTTTGTCAAATCATCAAACCTGTACTAGGTTTGACTAATTCAGATTCGCATCGTATAGGATCCATGAGAACGGAAATGCTCCCAATTATTTTTTTCTTCTTATTTTTATTTTATATCTAGATGTTGATTTTTTAAATAAGAGTTTACACTTTGCAGAATTATTTTATTTTATTTTTTATAGGAGCACCAATAAACATGACTAGAATAAATAATTACTTGCCGTCTTAGTAAACCAATTTCTCTACGTTCTTATTTAGGAAAGTAGGTTGGAAAATCATGGTAAAGGAGCTCATGCATCATGAATACGATTAATAGCGGAGTCAAAATTTTCACTAACGAAATTTAATATATAAAAATAAATAATAATTTTGATCATGTAATTTTCAAGTAGAGGAGGTTTTCACTAACGGTGTGTTATTTAATTATGATAAAATGATACATATTTTTTTTTTATTTTGCACTTTTATAATTTTAAATTATTTTGTTTATTAAATACTGATACATAAAATTGCATTTTGTGTATTGATATTTCTGCGTATTTGCCGGCAACAATTGTGGATTTTGCGTAGGCCCACACTACACTATTTTTCAATTATTTAATTTCAACTATAATGACACAATTAGGAAAAAGAAAAAATAGTATTAATAAAGTAGAACATTGATGGTAGTGACAAAACATAGTGTGAAAATATTGTCTTTGGAGGAATTTTTAAAGGTAATCACGAAAAGTGATTTAAATCCACGATAAACTTTATTGCAGAATTGTTGGAACGTAAAAGGGCTAACTATAGTTAAACCAAGTAGAGGTGGAAATTGATTGTCTACGTGCTATCAAGCTGATTAAGAATAAGAAAATACAATATCATCCTCTTAGGGCTATTATTGAATACTGTAGATATTTATTGAATATCAGCAAAACCTCTATCAAACATATATGGAGAGAGGCGAATCAATGTGCTGATTTCCTAGCAAAAGAAGAATACAAATGTAATGAAGATCAAATAATTTAGGGAAATGTGTTCAAGAAGATGAAGTTCACTCTCCTAACAGACTTAAACGAGATTGCTTTTGAAAGATTGTAATCCTTTTTAGTTCATGTGTTTTGAGCATATTTTCTTGGCTCACTAGTTTTGTATATATTTATACACATTGAATGAATTTTTAAAATAAAAATAGAGAGTTTAAATCAATGTTAATAGGTTATGTCAAATCCGTAGCTAAACAGTGACTTTGCTTTTAAGCAGAATCTCAACCTCGACTCATGAAATGTAAAAATATGTGATAGGAAGTGCTTCAATTAAATAAATTTATACAACGTGAATCTTGAATTAATCAAATTCAAAATTCAGTTTATCTGATGGTCAAACAAAAGAGATCTTGTTACTCTTAAGTCTTAACTCACTCTTAATTTTTTTAAAGACATTTTACTCGTTTTTTCAACAACATAAAATTATAGTAAAGAGATAAAATAATTGCGTATTAATTTTCACAATCTCACTCCAAACTAAGATAATATAATAGACTTCACTCCAATTTTGGATATCATTCCATTAATTAGAGTCTTTGACTTCAAATTTTGATAATGGAGATTTTTGTGATAGAGAGTATTTCCCCCTTAAATAAGTGTTACAAACACAAATATAAATTAATAGATTGGTTCTAGATATCTAATGTTCTAACAAAGGAGATTATTCTTAATCCGCTTTCATTGTTTCTTCATATTTTGTCTTTTTAAATAACACAAGGTTATGTAGGATAAAGAGTTATCTTTATTCGAGGGAAGTCAATTGACATCCTCCTAAGATAGTAACTATTAATTGAGCGATCATCTGAGAAATTAACCAACTAACAACACTTTCATTAAACTGGGAAAAGGCAACAATAATAACAATAACATTCCTAGTGAAATTTGTCATTCAGCATGACTCAGTTGGTTTGGAGGGTGGTTATCCACACGGATGGCTCGAGATCAACCCCCCCCCCCCTCAATGCCTTCTGAGTCGAGCCTGTCGCATAGGGCTTGCCTAGTGCGGTTTACATCCCCTGTGTGGTGTTCAGGCTATTACACAGTAGGGGGTTTACCCAGTGTGCACAAAGTGCTCAACACAGAGTGCTCACCCAAAGGGCATAGGCTGTGACAGAGGTTGTACCAGCTGCGGATTATCTTGGGGTTCCAAAAAAAAAATTCCTAGTGAAATTTGTTAGAGGGTAAAGTGTACATAGACCTTATCACTACCTCGTGGAAATAGTTGTTCCCGAAATACTCTCGGCTCAAGTGCATCAAACTCAAGTAAAAGAAGAAGAAAATAATAAAGAAAGCATAACAATTAATACGAAAAGCAACATTATAGCCTACAGGACAAAAACAATACTAACAACAAAATAACGTTATAATTGAAACAAATATATATATATATATACACGTTGGCAGATAACAAAAGCAGGGTAAAACAACACTCTAACCCTACTGACCTTCTACCTAATACGTGACCTCCACTACTTTTTATCTAGAGTCATGTCCTTAGTTATATGAAGTTGTGTCATGTCCTATATATAATCACCTCTCCCCAATACTTTTTTGATGTACTTCTACCCTTTTGCATGCGTACCCCCTACAACCAGCCTCTGACACCTCATCTTCACATGCCCAAACCATCCCAGTCGCTTCCCTTATCTTGTCCACAACAAATGTCACTTCCACCTTCTACCGAATAGCCTCATTCTTAATCATGTCTCTCCTAGTATGTCCAGACATCCATCTCTACATTCCTCCGCAACATGCATCTTCTGAGCACGTGAGTGCTTGACTGACCAACACTCCACCCCATACAACAAGAACAGTCTAATTAACCACTCTGTAAAACTTACCTTCAATTTTAAATTAGGCAATATCCTATTATCATATAAGACTCTAGACAAACCTCTATTTCATCCCTGCCACACTACAATACGATGTGTGATAAATAAATGTAAGAGTTAGAATTAAAGTAAATCTTGGCCAAACCAACCAAAGTTGACACAAATATGAAATAATCCTACGAAGAAAAACTTAGGCCTGTTGGAATATCCAACCAAAACGCGTTAATCTTGTGGGTCTGTTCTAATTTATCATTATATGGCAACTAACCATATTTATGGAAAAACTTGTAATAAATATATACTCGCCTGTGCACTTTAATTGTCATTGTTTTCTTTTTTAGAGTCAAATTATAAGAACTTTGACTAACATTTTACGATATATTTTTTCATCATATTAATATACGAAAAATGACAATTTATAGTACTTTTCATATAGTTTTTGAATATCTAAATTTTTTGTTTATAATATCGAATTAATGTAATCTAATTTAACTTTGAAAATTAATCAAATTGACTTTCGAAAAGCACAACATGACAAATAAAAGTGGACGGAGGTAGTATCATTCATCCCTAACTAGAGGTTTTGGTTCGAGTCCCTTGAGTACAGAGTCACCTGGAGCGCTTTATCCTTAATGTGGGACTTTTCGGCACGAATTTGGATTTATTCAAACTCCAATGTCGATATTGAATACAGGACGGAACAAAAAAAATAAAAAATAATATATATATATAAAATGCATACTAGATTTTTTAAAATTATTATTAAATAATATAAACCCTTAAAGACCAATTCTCATTTGTTATGCTGAAAAAGATCTCAACTTTTTTTCCTACCTTGGTCACTAAGCTGTTCTTTGACCTTCTCAAATGTAATAACAAAAATCTCTGAATATTTATCCAAAGATCAAAACTTTTTCTCTTTCTTGGGATTATTTGGCTTTTGCTTTGTCTTTTTTTTGATTTATTTATCTACTTGGATTGCTTATTCAATCTTTTATCCATGGTTGCATAGTTATTTTGCTGATTACATGAATTGTGTTCTTACTTAGATAAGATTTTGGGTTCATCTTGTTTCTTGATTTGCTATACTTGAAGTTGAACAAGTTCTTGATTTTAGTACTTTTTTTACTAGTGTTGTGTTTGATAGAAGAGGGTTTGACTTTTTCTTGATCATTTGATTGAAATAATCAAGATCTTGTTGATTTTGAGTGGGCATTATAGAGCTATGTTTGTAATTGTAAGATATTAAACTATTGGGGAACTGAAAGATTGAATTTTGGAATTAGTATCAAATGGGGAACACTTGTGTTGGACCTAGTATTTCTAGAAATAGGTTCTTGCAGTCTGTTTCAGCTGCAATGTGGCCGTCTCGGGTGCCGGATGACACTGCTTCCACCACTAATGGTGGGAGTAGTAGGGGTGGAACAGTAGAATCTGGGAAAGACCCTGATGTGGTAGTTCAAAATAGGGCACCTGAACAGATGACAATGCCTAAGTCTGAACAGAAGGAAGTGGAACCAGTGAAGAAGGAAGAGGAACCGGTAAAGCCTAAGAAGGCGGTAGAGATGAAGAGGGTAGGTAGTGCAGGACTTAAGACTGATTCTGTGTTACAGAAGAAAACAGGCAACTTAAAAGAGTTTTTCAGTATAGGAAAGAAATTAGGACAAGGACAATTTGGGACTACATTTAAATGTGTCGAAAAAGGGACAGGGAAAGAGTATGCTTGTAAATCGATTGCTAAGAGGAAGTTGTTGACAGATGATGATGTTGAAGATGTTAGAAGGGAAATTCAGATAATGCATCACTTAGCAGGGCATCCGAATGTTATATCGATAAAAGGGGCTTATGAGGATGCGGTAGCTGTTCATGTAGTTATGGAACGGTGTGCTGGAGGTGAGCTTTTCGATAGGATTATTCAGCGGGGGCATTATACAGAAAGAAAAGCAGCTGAGCTCACAAGGACTATTTTTGGGGTTGTTGAAGCTTGTCATTCGCTGAGCGTCATGCATCGTGATCTTAAGCCTGAAAATTTCCTTTTTGTTGATCAGAAGGAGGATTCACTTCTCAAAACTATTGATTTTGGATTGTCAGTTTTCTTCAAACCAGGTACTTAATTTAATTAGTTTGTAGTTACTTTGTGGAAGCTGCTTTAAGATACCGTCTTAATTAATGAGCATCAATGAGAATTGACGTGTACTATTCATGAATTTTATGTGTTAGTTCTTGGTATTCGTGATGCAGATTCTATTGGACTTTGTCCAGGACTGTATCTTGATGTAGATGCACTTTGATTCAATCCACTGGCATTCATATTGTATTGAACTCTCATGATAAACCTTTAGAAGGGGAGCCTTGACGTAATTGGTAAAGTTGTTGCTATGTGACTAGGAGGTCACGTGTTCAAGCTATGGAAATAGCCGCTTGCAGAAATGCAAGGCAAGGCTGCGTACAATAGACCCTTCTGGTCTGGCCCTTCCCTGGACCCACGTGCATAGCAAGAGCTTAGTGCACCGAGCTGCCCTCTTTTTTTCTCTTGATAAACCTCGTCTGATGCAATTTGAAGTCTTTCTCCTCTATGCTATGTTGTTCATTAGTTGTAATGTATAATTTTCTGAAACAGACTATTTATGGATGTATCCTTTTCAGGTGAGAGATTTACTGATGTTGTTGGCAGTCCTTATTATGTTGCACCGGAAGTTCTCAAAAAGCGGTATGGTCCTGAAGCTGATGTTTGGAGTGCTGGTGTGATTGTGTACATCTTATTAAGTGGAGTGCCTCCTTTCTGGGCTGGTGAGATTTGAGGATACTTGTTTTCTTTACTTTATTCTGCAATTCTCTCTGTTCAATTCTCCAAAGTTTTACATTTCTATTAATATCCTAGAGGAAAATTTCGGGCTGTGTTAATTTAGCTGAAAAAGATGATGTGATATTCTCAAAGCTTGGGGGAACTCCTAGTTTGAATACTCCATTTCCTGGGACCTCGAATCATGGTGCTAGTGCTACCATAATCATATTACCATTTAGTTGATACTTGATAGGATCCTGTCACAAGATTCCCTTAATGCATAGTAATATTTTTAACTCGGTGTGATATTGTCCACTTTGGGCCAAAACTGATTGATTTTTCCCAAAAAGCCTCACCCCATTAAGAATATCCCTACACCTTATATGTAGTTCCCAACATTTTCACCTTCCAATGAGGAACTTTGATCGCATACCCAACAATTTCCCCCTTGAACTAAGTTTCACACGGTCCATCACGACGATCCAGGATCTCCCCTCTTTAATTAAGTACCAGAATACCATTACCACGATCCACGAGTCAATTTTCAAGTTTCACTGTGTGGCATGTGCCAATTGCCACCCCACATGACAGAGCATTTATGGCCACGGGAGCCCAAAGCTAGCTTCTTCTTGTGATCAGCTGAGATTTCCATAGTTCTTGCTACCTTTGTGTCGACTGCTGCTGCTGACCCTTTAAGGCGTCAGGCTAAGTTGCTCAGACTCTCCAAAATTGTTGCCGCACCCGTGTCGGATCCTCCAAAAATGCACTACTTTTAAAGGATCCGGCACGCCCCCGATGACATTTTTGAAAAGTCCGAGCAACATAGGCGTCAAGGGCAATCACCAGAAAATTGGGAACTTCCTTTATATGCATACACTTAAAATAAAAAGAATAACTGCATATTCAAAATCAGATCTATTTCCATAAACTAAACCAGTTTTGTCAGCAAGGGAAATAAAATGAAAAATGTTTATGGAAACCAAATGTAGCTCTGCCAATGATGTCTTATCTTTTCGTATGATTTCTCTTTACTAATATATAATATCATACAGAAAATGAGCAAGGAATATTTGAACAAGTCCTGCATGGTGATCTCGATTTCTCGTCAGATCCATGGCCTAGTATTTCAGAAGATGCAAAAGACTTAGTTAGGGGAATGCTTGTTCGAGATCCCAGAAAACGTTTAACTGCTCACGAAGTCTTGTGTAAGTCTTCTCAACAGTTTGTCTTATCTGATATTTGAGTTTAACATGTCTACCTGTTGAAATGACAGTGGATTAACTTTACTAGTGGGAAATGGTTTTACATTTCTACATTGGTAATTCACTAGTAATAGTAAGTAGTAGCGAGAACAGGAAAGGTATAATTCATATGCTAACGATAAAGCTTCTTATATGCTGTGAGTGAGGCTGGCTATATGAATACTATTCCCTCCATTTCAATTTGTTTGTTTTACTTTCCTTTTTAGTCCCTCTGAAAAAGAATGTTTCATTTCTTTTATAGCAACTCTTTAGTTCTAACTTTCTACATGACATGTTTAAGACCATAAGATTCAAAAGTCTTCTCTATTTTCTTACACTTTGTGCCAAGTCAAAGCAGACAAACAAATTGAAACAAAGGGAGTGCATCATTGTGCTCTAATTTCGCTTGTTTCGTTTCAATACTGAATACTCAATAATCTCCTACTATTATATATTCTATTTCATAATTGATCATGTAATAGTGCTATGGAGAAAGTTAAACTCTGCCCTTGTGGTTAATATTTTGTATCGCTAGAATCCTATGAAATGAATTTAGTCCTTCCTACTGCAAAAATTTCCCTCGAGTTGAAGAATTTGGATAAAAGTTAATGAGTGATTTTTATACCTCCGCAGGCCATCGCTGGGTTCAAGTTGATGGTGTGGCTCCAGATAAGCCTTTGGATTCTGCAGTTCTGAGTCGAATGAAACAATTTTCTGCAATGAACAAGCTCAAGAAGATGGCTTTGAGAGTGAGTCTATAGATTCACAAACACGTCCAAGAATCATACAAACTGTGGATTGAAACTAGTCCCGCTAAATATTGTGAGTTACACGTCTATTGCAGGTCATTGCTGAAAGCCTGTCTGAAGAAGAAATTGCCGGTCTGAAAGAAATGTTCAAGATGATTGATACAGACAATAGTGGTCAAATAACTTTTGAGGAGCTCAAAGTTGGTTTAAAAAGAGTTGGCGCTAATCTCAAGGAATCCGAGATCTATGATCTTATGCAAGCAGTAAGTGATCTTATTTCAAGAACCTTCATGGGCAGAATCATCTAAATCTAAATAAACTAATTTATATCCCGACTTAAATAAGATTTTGATCGCGCAATAAGAGCGAAGAAACATGATTAATGTGTTTGGGGGACAGCAAAAATGGGAGGAAGTGTTTTAGATCCTACAATATTAGTTTCATGTGTTCCTCCAAATGTTCCTCACGAAAGATCCCTACTAATTTCTCAATGCCATTTGTATCATGTGAAGAAAATGTGTACACCGGAGAAGAATAACAACGATGTATGCCTATGTGATAATGATAATGAAAATGATTAGTTAATTACGTACTCAACCCCTTCTTTATCCAAAGGAAGTACCAAAATGAACAAGTGAAAAACTGTATTTCTTATGTTTTTGTTAAGAGGAATTGTATAAACATGGTATCCAATATTTCCTTAATGCTGATGAAATATATTGTTACCATTTTAAACGGAAGACCCACATAGAAACTTAAAAGTTCCCTTGTTTCTTACTTATATTTTTGGTCTAAGGAAATTATTTGTGTATATGTAGTAGTTGGATAGATTGTTGAGAATTACAATAACAACAACAACTAGCCTCAATTAGTGAATTTCACCTGACGGGTATATTTGGGAGTTTGATTGCTAAAAGGTGAAGGAGATTGTGTGAAGCTAATATTAGCCAATTGGAAATAAAAATTGTGCTCGTGAGCTTACATTTGATCTAGTCGATGTGGGCAAGAAGTAAGACAGAGCGATTTGGCCTTTGAATATCCTCTTTTCTCTGTGTTGGTTTCTAATTGTATAATCTTAAATCTTAAGATTCATTTAGCCTCATGACATTCTTACATCTCATGCTCAACCAAATGATAGTGACCTCATGTAACTCCTCGTTTTGTCTGAAATTGCAGGCAGATGTTGATAACAGCGGCACAATTGACTATGGGGAATTTATAGCTGCAACATTACATTTCAACAAAATTGAAAGGGAAGATCATCTATTTGCTGCTTTCTCTTACTTTGATAAAGATGGAAGTGGCTACATCACTGCAGACGAGCTTCAACAAGCTTGTGAGGAATTTGGCATCGGTAACGTCCATCTGGAAGATATGATTAGAGATGCTGATCAGGACAATGTAAGTTCTACTCTTGCTCTCCTTGATTTTAATATGAATTGGCATACAGGATCTGCCAGTTTTAACTCCGAGAATGATCTTTAATCGGAATTAAAAGGACATGTCCTTTTCTAAAGTTCGGCTAGTTCATATCAAGAATCTAACTCTTCTTTGTTTCTTCGCCAGAAAAATTCATAGTTCATACTACTACTTCCTTAGCTACTTACTAAAAATGTTCAAAAGGCAGTATGGTATTTGTTGGCATTTGTGAATGACTTAATCGAAATCATCACTTAAGTTTGAAGGATATGCAGTAATGACTTCTTTGTATGATGTTACCATAAAATGATGATGCTTATACGAGCAAAGACAAGCTTCTTTAGTGTGTAATTTTCATTCATGGTAAAAATTTGAGTTTTCGTTTAAATTTTTTCCAGGATGGGCGCATTGATTACAATGAGTTTGTCGCGATGATGCAAAAGGGACATCCAGCGAGTGGTGGTGGCAAGCAAGGTCTAGAACACAGTTTCAGCACCGGATTTAGAGACGCTCTAAAACTTTAGAGAGCCTTTGCCTTTCATCCCCCTCCTTTAGTTTTGTTGTATAGTAGAAACTAGTGCTTGCCAAAGCAACAACCTTGCTTTTTCAATGCACATCAGTAACATTTTTCCCAGTTTTACAAAATTTTCTCAACATTTGCTTCTGCAATACTAGTGTTTATTGATACTGTCAATATGTTGCATAGCAAGAAACTTGTGTCACATAATTACGCGACGTTTCAACTTTGCACCTATAGAATGTTGAAGTATAATATGTATCGATGAGCTACAACTCGATTCTTCTCTCTAAGTTGCTTATTTTAGATCGCGATTAATTGTATATTTGTGATCAAGGATAGTAACACTGAGCTACTGCAGGTGTGTATTTGATCTGCTATATTTTACACCACATGTATTTACTCCTTCTTAAACTTCGTATCAAGTCAAAACCAGACAAATAAATTGAAACGGAGAGTGTAGTAAATATATGGTGTGAAGTGAACCATACAATGTGTCTAAAATTACAAGTTTCAAATCCAATAAAACAGTGGGGGAGCAAGCAATGTGCAATGAGTGAAGTTCCCATGCTTCAATATTCCAACTCCTAAATATAATCATTTTCTTTGAAAACAACTCCCACCCAAGCCCCTAAATAAGAAGTAAGCAAGGTTAGGACGGATCTAGAAGGTTGGTTACAGATTTTACGTGAACTTAGTAGTAATTTTTACTCAAATTTATAATTGGAAAATCCATTAATTATTTTAAAAAATGTAATTGTGAATCAAATAATTATCGATGTATTTTTAAATTCTGAATTCATCTCGAAAGAGAGAAGAGGCAAATGATATTAGCATGTTGTGTGTCTAGCAAGCTCTACTACATTTATTGAATAAGAACAGTCAAATAGGGCCATTATGATGTCCCATGTGCTATTGACTTAGGGTTGTTAGGGCCAACAAATGAACTAAAAGTAGTTTTACAAGAAAGGTTTATGAATATTATTTACGATTACGATGAAATGGTTGAAATTCCTTATATTTTACTTAAAAATCTTGAGTTTGATCAATAAAAGTGTGTATAAGCCCCTTAGAGTTGGTGCTTTACCTTCCCTGCGGGTCCATTCGACATAAATTAAGATTAGTTAAACTAGTGAATTTCGGATGACCTTTTTTGTGACTCTTGTGGTTCATGCCAAGATTAATTAAACTACAGACTCGATTTGTCTTAATTTATGTGATATTATTTGACTTTAAGGAGAAAAAAAAGGACTTTTGAAATTTGAGGTTTAAAACAAGTCATAGATATTCGTGTGAATTATCTCATTAAGGGTAAGATTGACATTTTACAGTTAAATGGTTACTAAATATAAAAATGTGTCATTTTTTTTATTAAAAAAAACTGACTAAAAAGAAAAATGTATCACATAAATTGAAAGCCTGAGACAAAAAAAAAAGTAATTATTAAAAGGACTTGAATTAAAAATCTTTTCTTCGATCGACTAAGAGCCCGTTTGGATTGACTTAAAAAAAGTAACTTTTAAGTCAAAAATAAAAAGTCGAACTGAAATGACTTTTAAGTCAAAAAGTAAAAAGTAGGGGGAGACCTACTTTTGGTTTCTGACTTATTTCAAGTCATATTTTACCTTGTCAAACACTTTGTAACTTATTTTAAGTTATTTTTTATATTTACCAAACACTTCCAGAAGTCAAAAACTGACTTAAAAGTAGGTTTGACCAACTTTTAAGTCAATCCAAATGGGCTCTAAGAAGTCAAAGAGATTCAACATCTACATCTACTATATATACATTAAAACAAGACATAATATATAAACATATTCTTTAACTTGACTTCAACCGACTATACCCTTCAATTTTAAATATATACAAATAAACACTTAAACGATAATAAAATTAAATGACTAGACGCACGCATCACATCATTACAATTAGGATAAGTCAATCTCCAACACCAACCCCTCCACCAAAGCAAATAGAGATAGAAAGGAAAAGTTACGCACTTGACAAGGACTTGTAGATTTAAAAATTATGATGATTACTTAGTCAAGGAATAAATAAGTAAGTAAATGAATAAAAAATTAAAGATTGTATATACCAACCATTTAACATTTAAAAGGCATAGATGGTGATGGAGTTTTTATTTTTACAAGAGAAAATATGTGGCAGAAAATAAATGTATCATCACCACCTGAAAAATGATATATAAAACATTTAATCCCAAACAATAATCAATTTTATCCCACATTAATCTATTTTCATGTTAATTCTTTAATATATATATTTCCCTAAAAACTTGGTCCAATATTAATACTAAGTCAATTTTATTTAAGTAAAGAACATTTACAATATGTCACACCAATCTTTTTCTTTATTTTGTAGTTGATATGTGGTGTTTGTTTTGGGATATTGAGTAATTTAGGTTTAAATTACGTAAGGCTCATTAAAAAAGAAACACTTCTTATCAAAATTGTTTTCTTTTTTAATATGGAAAAGAGCCAAAAATACTCTTGAACTATTCGAAAAGATTTAAATATACCCATCATTCACCTATTGGGTTAAAAATACCCTCCAGTTCACTTTTTTGGTCTATTTTTACCCTTAAAACTAACACCCTTTTATTTTTTAATTATTTTTATTAATGTTTATTACGTGGCATCTTCCTATTGAATAGAACTAAATTCCAACCCATTAGATTGAATAAAATTAAATTCCAACTCAAAAAATAAAGGATGCTTCTTCTTGTAGTTGATGGGTGGTTCTGAAATAGCTTTAGTGAGAAAGAGAGATGTTTTTTTTTAAAAGGGTCGTTTGGGTCATGGAGCTATAGATAGGGGTGTGTACAAAACCGAACTGAAAATCGAACCAAACCGCAAACCGAGTTAAACCGAAAAAATAAACCTGACTAGTGGTTGGTTTGACTTGGTTTGGTGTTAGGAAAAAAAAAACCGGCTATATTTGGGTTGGTTTGGTTTTAACTAAAAAAAACCAACCCGAGACCAAACCAACCCGACATTATATATATAATTTTAAAATTTTATTTTATACATAAAAATATTTACTTTGATATAATTTTTAAATATTTCTTATACTTTTTCATAGTTTTTATCTTTTTAATATATTATTTCAAGTTTGAAACTTATAATTTTGAATGGTTCCATAAAGATTATAGTCAATAGATGTTGGTAATTATAATAAAACTTAAATCAAAATCAAATTAATACTAATGCAAAAAGAAAATCAATTTAACACTAAGAATGACAATAATATTGAATATTTGTTCTTTGGTTTTACATTGGTTTAAACAATTAAAGTACATAATCTAATTTTAATTTCCTTTAATATTTAGTCATGTAACTAATACTTATTAAACTTATTTTAGCATGATTTATTACTTTTAAATTATGATCATTTTTCATTTATGACTTGTTAATTTGCAATATTTGTTTTTACGCGATTTTCATTATTATTATTATTTTTGGATATTTTAGTGTCATTAATCATATTCATTGTTTGTGTTGTATTCTTAAGAAACACCTTACATAGTTGTATTTTAGTATGACTGAAGAAATACTTGAAGTACAAGTAAATTATATGTTTGTATGAATACTTTGGCGGAAAAACTTGAAAACCCGAAAAAATTCGAGGTTGAAAAACCCGAGTTTTATTGGTTTGGTTTGGTTTATAGATTTAAAAATCCGACACAAATAATTTGGTTTGATATTTGAAAAACCCGAGCCAACCCGACCATGTACACCCCCAGCTATAGATATGGGTCGGGGTGGATGAAGGAAAATCTAATGGGTTGGAATTTAGTTTCATCCAATAGGAAGATACCACATAATAAATATTAATAAAATTAATTAAAAAATAAAAGGGTGTTAGTTTTAAGGGTAAAAATAGACCAAAAAGGTGAACTGAGGGGTATTTTAACCCAATAAGTGAATGAGGGGTATATTTGAACCTTTTCGAATAATTCAAGGGTATTTGGCCCTTTTTCGTTTTTAATATTCGAACACAAAATCTCTGATTAATAATAAAAGAATCTTATTGTTTTTTGGCATAACTTTCTAGTGTTGTCACACCATATCTATAGGAATTCTTGATGAAATTTGTTTGTCTTTTCTACTTATTATTGTCAATGGTTGCTTAATCAATGTGAAATAACACACATATTATATTGGATAAAAAAAAAATTCACCTTTAATTAGAGTTGAATTCGCATCATGAGAAATAGAGATGAATTTTGGAAAAATTAAACCACTTCATCCTTTAATCGGTGTGGTAATCATATTATCTTTTTAAGGTAGATATAAAATTTACGTATATTTTATCTTCTTAAATTAGATAACTATATTATTTATATAAAAATGGTTACTACTTACTACTAAGCTACCACTTTATTTTAAGATAAAGTTTGACCATTCAAATTTTAAAAATAATGATGATTACTTAGTCAACGAATAAATTAATAAATAAAGCTTATACCAACCATTTAACATTTAAAAAGCATGGTTGATAACATTGGAATGTTTACAAACTACAAAAGAAAAAATGTGGTGGAGAAAATAAAAGTGGCCCTGCAAATGCTCCATTCTAACAACCTCAAATTTATATAAATTTTAATCCTATGATATCATGTTTTTTTTTTGTTTTCTTTTGGATGGTTAATTAAGTGAGTTGAGATTATTAATTTTTGGGTGTATCGTGAGTTTTTAGTCATCATTTGAAAAGTAATAGAAACATAGAAATGCAGAACTAACGATATATATTACTCAAGGGTCATTTGGTAGCTGGTTAGGATAAATATTATATATATTGGGTTATGAGGGGTGATTAGGGCGTCATGCGGAAGCTTACAATTTGCAAATCATATAATTGATAAAATCAGATAACAAAAACTTATATTAAAAAATCAAAATGTTATTATATCAAAACTAATATAAAGAAAAACATTGAAACTTTAGAGAGAATAAATCTCCCCATAAACAAAACTCTTAAACGACTACA